AAACACCCCGGCCAGCTTCTGGACAAAGTCCCTTCAGGCAAGGGGAGGAAGGATTTGTTTGTCCCAGTCCCTGGGCTTCCCCTCCTCCTCCACCTGCCTGCCTGGCTGGGAATGCAAAGGCCAGAGGCCCCCACAGGTGGGGAGCAGCTTGGGGTTTGCCACAGAACTTGTCACCACTCTGGAGTCCACGAGAAGTTGTGCTGAGACAAAGCCCAGCTTTGGATCCTTGAGATTAGAGAAGCCCACCCTGCCTGGTGGTTGATGAGCATGCTGGGGAAGGCCATGGAGCTGGGGGTCAGGAGCTCAGGTCTGAGTCCCAGCTTGATCATTGGCTTGTTTTCTGCCCTCTTTGGGCCTCAGTCTCCTCTTCTGTAATGTGAGGAGCAGGATGAGATAGCTCAGAGGCCCCTATCATGCTCTGAGGTTCTGGGGCCCTAAGACTACATGAAGGGGCAGCACTGCCCAAGGAGGAGGCTGGCCTCACGTCTTAAGTCCAGCGTTGTCCAGCACCAGCTCTTCCAGGCTCCCTGACTTGCTCAGGGTATGTAGCACCTGTTCTAGCACTTCAGAGCCCTGAGGACAGAGGGGGTGCTGCGATCAGGGACCAGAGAAGACACTTCTCTCTCTCACTTCCACCACCCCTCCTAGTCCCTACCAGCCGCAGGTCCTTGCAGTAGAGTTTGGTGAACCATTGGTTGTAGGCTAGGGCTGCCACCATTAGGGCCAAGTCCCTGTGGGGAGATGAAGTGGGTAGGAAAGTGGTGAGCAGGTGGCTGGGCAGTAAAGAGGAGACAAGGGATGAAGAGGTTGGGCTGGGGAAAGCCTGGATGAGTAGAAGGCAGTGGGGGGTGAGGTTGGGGAGAGAAAGCTGGGTACTGTGGGTGGGATCAGAAGGGCATTTGGGGTGGTGGTGGGGAGTCTCTACCCCTCAGCTTACCGGCTCTCCAAGTGGCTGAAATCCAAAAGATTGAACTCCCGGTTATCTTCAGCATGATAAATGGTGTCCACATCCTTGGAGAGGTAGCACTGGCTCATACCTGCTCCCCTCCTCCTCCTCTGCCCCCTCCCTCCAGGTCCCACCTGCCCAAATAGTGGGTCTCTGCCCAACGCACCCATTGCACCTCCTCACGGCAGTGCAGCCCATTGTAGTCACACAGGGCAGCGTAGGTCTCAGAGAAGCCACCTGTGGGGCAGTAGATGGGCTGGCTTCAGGAGGGGCAAGGGCATAAGGAACAGGTTTGGGGGGGGTCAAGGTCAGTTTATGTGCTAGTGTCCTGGGTTCCTGCTACACCATGAAACTCTGAGGTCCGGGAACTATGGAGTCCTCAGGGCAGGTGAAACTTCATATATAAAGGACCCCAGACAAGGGGCAGGGTGGTTTAGGTCCCACTTTCGTCAAGTCTGCCCCTGCTCACCACACACACTGTGAGTGGTAGATGTGGAAGTCTCAGAGTTGGGGGATGTGTCTCGGGGCCCTTCTGGAGTGTCTGCATTTCCACGCCGTATGAGACACCTGGAAGATGAACAAATCCATCCCAGAGACAGGTGAAAAGAGGGCCTCAATTCTTCCCATTATGACTTCTGGATCCCCAGGAAAAAACAGGAGCAGGAACATGCTTGCTCTTCTCCTTGGTGTCCTAGGAGCTCAGGTCCAGGGGAAGGAGGAAAGGAGGGAGAAGCCTCCTTGTTGTCCAACCCCGTGAGAGATTCCTCCTTTGCCACTCACCCAGGGCCAGGGCAGACCTTGGAGAGGGCAGAGCTCACATGTCGCGTCACCTGGTCCACACTCTCAGCTGACGGCAGTCGCATGCTCACCATGCCACGTTCTGTCTCCACTAGGATCTGGGGCAGAGGGAGCAGCAGAGCCTCACATATTGACTCCTTCCTCCTGCTCACCCAATAGTGGGGCCCCAGACCCTGGTGCTCACCTGGTTCTGACTGAGCGTGTTGAAGGCCCGGATCTCCAGGACATTGAAGGAGCTCTCCACCTGGGGGCATGGGGATGCTCAGCTCATGGTAAGGGTCTGGCTGCCAGACCCAGGAGGGAGCATGCTAGGTGCTCTCCCGATCCTCAGCCCAACTCACCTTGGCTGGGACTTTAAGGGGGAAGAGGTGGAGGCGCCAGGAGGTCAGGGCCTTCAGAGAAAGAAAAGAAAGCAGCAAATGGCAGTTTCCTGGGCCATTGACTCTTGCTATCCTTTAGCCCCTCAGTCTGTGTGCAGCCCTGGCCAGCAGAGGCCCTCTGCTCTGGGGGTCCCCCCTCTCTCTTATGCCCCATCCTAATCTCCTGGACATTGACCCAATCCAGTCTAACACCTTTCCCAGGCTATGTTGCCTCAGCTCTTCCCCACCTGTTTCCCCTGCCTCCTAGGCTCTCTGTCCTCAGCAGCCCAGCTGCCCTTGATACCTCCCTCTGTTCCCAAGCCCAGTGCCCTCACCAGCACTCGGTCCTCAAACTTCTTGGGCTTCGTCTCCAGCTTCACTCGATGTTGCTGGAGCACAGCCCCTTGGCTCAGGCACCTCCGGATGCTGTCTGCAGGTTGATATGGGTCTGCTCAGAGCTCTCCTTACCCTGGCCAGCCCACCTCCCCAGGGTTCTCCAGGGCCAGGGTCAGGGGGGAGGAGAGAGAAAAAGAGACAACTGACAGGGACACACACCTTTCCTTCTTGGGTGACTTTTCTCTTCCTATTAGAGAGGGAAGGGGTGTGGAGAAAACTGGTTCCTGAAGTTCCTGAGTCAAGGGACAGTTGCTGAGTGACACTGTCTGTGGGAGGATGTGTCTTACACTTCTGAGGGTGTGAAGGATTTTTCCAACTTGTTCACTCTAGCAACTGTCAACCCATACACAGTGAGTCAGCGTGCAGGGGTGTAGGGGTGTCCCTTTGACTATATTCTAGGTGGTCTGGGTGTGAGTGTGTCTGCCTTTTACAATACGTGTGTGCGTGCCTTCTGAAGATGCCATTGTCGGAGATGGGTAAGTGTGAATGAGTATGCTGTGCTTGCAGTTGTGAAAGGGGCACAGAGCCAGAAGGTTCTGGTGTGTGGG